CCCTCTACGCAGCACTTAACTACTGTGCTATAGGGTAGCTCTGAGGCCAGCAGTGAACATTATAACTAGACTATTAGGTTTTTTTAAATTTTTTTTTTTTGAGAGGCTTCTGCTATAGGGCACGTGCTCTCGCCAGCCAGCCAGAGAGAGACAGAGAGACAGAAAGCGAGAAATCACCCCCCAGTGGGGATGGCCACACTGCAATCCCTTCTCCTCCGTTCTCTTGGGACGCACGCACACGTGCCTGGCATGAATTGTAAGACACCGGGTCCAGGACGCGAACCGCAGTTGGCTACATGGGAGTCCAGCGACATAGCCATTACGCTAACTGATGGTCCCAACTAGACTATTAGGGATTGACGGGTGGTGTGGTGGTTAAGGCACTGAACTCCCTCATGGCTGACCATGGTTCGAGTCCCAGACCTGGCAACTTGCTTTCTCACTTTCTCTCTCTCTCTCTCTTCAAATTGAAAAGTATAATGATAAATAAAATTAAATTAAAAAATTGTTTATTTTTTAGAGTTTTTTGCTATAGGGTGTGTGTGCTCACCAGAAAGACAGAGAGAGACAGAGAGACAGAAAGCAAGAAATCACTCCCTATGGAGAATGGCCATGCCGCAATCCCTTCTCCTCCATTCTCCGCTTGGGATCTTGGGCATGCACGCACACACGCCAGGCGTGAGTTTAAGCCACCAGGTCCGGGACTTGAACTACAGTGGACTACACGGGAGTCCAGTGACATAGCCATTACACCAACTGCTGGTCCCACTTAAAGAAAACTAGACTATAAAATATTAGTTTATCAGAATTACAGACATAGTAAATCCATTTAGGTTTACAAAACTTGGATTGCTCCCTCTGGAGGCCTATTCAGCTCACAGGTTATTTCTTGGTGGTAAGTACCATCTCAGCATCTAGCATCCAGGTAGCTACAGCTGCAAGATTACCTTTTGCATAGTACAGAATCCAGGTTCTAACATGAGGCCTCAAAATGATAACTTATATCCCACACAATGACTACAACATTTGTCCAAGGATACACACAGGCAACAATAGGTGTTCTTGATCAAGGGCCCCAGCTGAACTGCCTACCGATGAACGGTTCCTTAAAAGGTAAATTATTTTCCAGGACAGTGTGATATTATCTCCTGCTCAAGCCAAGCCTAAGACCTTGGGATATATTGAAAAGAGCACTGGACTAGGCACCAGAAATTCACATGATTTAGTGCAACTTATTGTGTGACCCCTGGGCAAGTTACTTTACATAGTATTTAGAAGTTTTATTTGTATCATATATAAAATAGAACCTGTCTACTGGAGAAAGCATAAAATAATAGATTATGCTTTGAAAAGGTAGAAACCCTTACAAAAACAAAAACAAAAACAAAACAACTTACCTTTACACCAGAGGTTTCCCAATTTCTATCTGCTCTTCTCCATTTTCTTCACTGGTTTTTAAACCCAACTTCAACTTGCAGATCTGAGGATTTGAATGAAAGATTCTTTAAGATCTTTTACAGCTCTGCTAATGTATGATCCCCACTCAACCAATGAACACTAGCTCTTGGTATATGTTCAATGTTGCAGACACAGGGAGTCAGCCAGTGGTGCCAGTGTAACGCAACACTCCACAAGACTGTCCACATAGGAAGGTTCCAGGTTCATATCTAGAGACCTCCCTGAACACCCCAGGTATGCCTGGCATGCTCATGATCCAGGACCAGCTGAAGCTGGATTACAACGTAAGACCCTGTTGAGACTGTCCATCTCTCTGTCTCTCTCCCTCATGGAAAAAAATAAACTAGTAAGTGTTACAGACAGGGTAAATCCTGTAGGGCAGCCATTAAGTACCATACATGAGGAGATGGCTTCCACACGGCAGGTCACATTTTCGAATTGCAGTGCTGACAGCTTGAAAAACATGCTGGGTGCATATGCATGTGTACCCCAAATCCTTACAGGATGGAAATATAGAAAAAAATGGATCACAGAGACTATGTCTCATTGGAGGGTGCTTTCCACTTTCTCTTTGGTGAACACACACATACTCTGGCAATTAAAAAAAAGTTAAAGACACAAAAATGAACAAAATCCAGCCAATATGATATAATCTACCAATCAGTGATGATGAAGTGTAGTATTAAAAGTTTATATGGGGGGGCCAGCAGGCAGAGTGGTGGTTAAGGCACTGGACTCTCCCACATAGACAACCAAGGTTCGAGTCCCAGACCTGGTAAGTTGCTTTCTCACTTTTCCTTTCTTTGTGTCTCTCTCTGGTCAAATTAAAATGAATGAATGAATGAATAAATAATATTAAATAATTATTTTTTAAAAAGTTTACATAGGGCCAGCCCATATCATAGGGGTTAGTATGGCTGGATCTCACGTGGTCAATTGTGCAGTTTGAGTCTAGGACCTGGTGGCTTGAAATTCATGCTAGGCACACACATGTAAGTGTCCACAATTCCAGAAGAATGGAGAAGGGATTGCTGCATGGCCATTCCCCTCTGGGGAGGGTGATTTTTCTCTTTCTCTCTCTCACTGTTTTTCTGTGTCTCTCTTCACAAGCGCATGTGGCCTATGCAAAAAACTAAAAATAAAAAGGTCATATAAGGTTACTGGGAAACATTATTCTGGATCTTAGATCTATTCAACTTTGCTATCAATTATAAAACATTTATGTTTAACTTTAAGCACTAATTGCTTACCACTACAGAGCTTAATAACCTTACAAAGGCTGTAAGGTTATTAAGTGTCATAATTGCTGTGCTCTTCTAAAAACTATAATCCAGTGGGAACCAGCAGTTAGCGTAATGGCTATGTCGCTGGACTCCCACGTAGTCGACTGCGGTTCGTGTCCCGGACCCGGTGGCTTAAAACTCACGCTGGGCGCGTGTGCGTGCGTGCCCAAGATCCCGAGAGGAGAATGGAGGAGAAGGGACTGCGGCATGACCATCCCCTCTGGGGGGTGATTTCTCGCTTTCTGTCTCTATGTCTCTCTCTGTCTGGCGAGCGCACGCGCCCTACAGTGAAAATCTCTCCAAAAAAAAACAAAAAAAAGAAAAAAAAAAACTATAATCCAGTGTGACAGGTAATATGCATGATAACAAAACTTTATTCTGGCCCAGCCCATAGCATAGAGGTTAAGACAGCAGATCCCACATGGCTAACAGATGGTTCAAGCCCCAGACCTGGTGGCTAAAACAACACACCAGGCAGGCGTTTGTGTGCATGTGTGCCCTAAATCCTGAAAAGAGGGAAAAATGGACAAGGGATTACAGTATGACCATTCCCCTAGAGGGGCGCACTCTCTCCCTGGCCAATGCACACATCCACACCCTCTGACAAAAATTAAAACAAAACAAAACAAAAAAACCTCTGTTCTTGCCAGACTTGGACTAGAGTTCAAATTATGCTGTTACTTCCTATATGATCTTAAACAAGTCCTTTAGTCTCTTCAAGCCTGTTTTCTCTCCTATAAAATGGGAATAAAACCCAGTACTATTCACATTAGGGTTGCTGTGAAGTTCAAACAAGACAATTTATGTGAAGAACAGTTCCTGGAACATGAATATCAAGTAAATCAAGGCCACAAGTTTTTTGTTTGTTTTGCTATAGGCTGTGTAGGCTCTCCAAAGACAGGAGGGAGCTTGAGAAGCACCTTGCCCCAGGCCACAACACAATCTCCTCAACTTCATTCTTCTCCTGGGATTTTGGGCACTTAATCACAAGCACCCAAGCTTTTTTTTTTTTTTTTTTAAAAAGAGGTTTTTGCCTTGGGGCTTCTGTGTCCCCAGAGGGAGAGAGAGAGAGACAGAGACAGTTAGAAAGTGAGAAATCTCCCCTCAGAGGGGATGGCCACACTGCAATCAATCCCTTCTCCACCCGGAATCTTGGGTAAGCATGTACACATGCCCCGCATGATTTTCAAGCCACCAGGTACGGGATTGGAGCTGTGCTTTTGGCCCCGTGGGATCTAGCCCACTTAACTTCCACGCCATCTGCTGGTCCTCGCAATATTGGGGTGGGGGTGTGAGTTTTCTTTCAATACGCAGCTAATAAAATTCGTTGTAAGTTGCAATGCTGTTTCACTGTCTCCCATTGAGATACAAGGCAGTTTGTTTACTGCCTCAAGTTATCAGGCAGTGTTGCGATCCCAAAGTCTCGAGAGTCCTTCAAGTAAGAATTCAGTGAAAATCCACAGCCCAGTTGTGGATTTATGGAGAAGTTTTTATATGTCAAGGGACCAGTTCAACAGTAATTCTTTACCGTAATTCTTTCTCCGAGCACCAAGACTTATTTAATAAGCATCGATGCTGAAACGAGTGAATGAAAAAGACCTGAGCCACACTTCACTAAATATAACCTATTGCTAAATGTAGACTGATTTTTCTTCACGATGGCTAAGCATCTTTATCTTTTTTTTAAAAGGTAATTCTGTTACGTTGGGGTTGAAATAAACTAGCACTTCCCCAAGGTCAGCACCTGAGTAGGTACCGGTGGCCTTGACGCTTCCAGATTCCTTCGTCCTCCCCTCCCCCCGCCCGCGTTCCCCTCCCCCATCTCCACCACCAAATGCAGCTCTGAGCTCTAGGTTTGACCACTGCCTAGTTGAGCGAGGCAAGGGGGCGAGCCGAAAGAAGTCGGGAGTAGGTGGGGCTGAAACCCAACTTCATTGTTCGCGGGACCGACTCTTCCGGAAAGAGCCCGTTGGCAACGCCTGCGCAGTGCTCGCTCTTTGTGCCGGGCTGCAGCAAGCTGGATGTTTGTGTGTGTCTCTCCGAAGCGGGGGAGGAGGAGCCTGAGGGGCGTGGCCTGCCCTATCGCACTCCTATTGGGCTTTCGCAAGGAGGCGGGCGGGCACAGGGCGGAGCTTCGGATAACAACACTCGGAGCTGGGGCTGGGGCTATTTGTTGCTGCGCCGCCACCGCCCGAGTCATGGTCCGCGCTCTCCTCTGGCTCGCTTAGCAGCA